GGATCTGCTCACGTCCAGCTGTGGAGGGCATGACCCTCCACACCTTGGCCCCAGCTTCAAGCACATCTCACTGCCCAAGAGCCACGAGTGCTTTACGGGCTGTAAGGCTGGACAGGGGCACTTTGTCCCATCTCCCAGCCCTGCATCAGAAGGGAGGGGATGCACCTTCCACTCCCGGTCCAACAAGGCAGAGATGGGGAGGTCACCCCAGGCAGGAGAGCCTCCACGATCCCCAGAGCTGGTTAGTGGTGGATGGGGAGGTAGCGAGGACTTACCCATGTAGGCAGCTTGCCACCCTACAGACCACCCCCGTCCACAGTACCTGCTCGGTGCCAGCCGAAGTTCATGGTTTTGGTGGCCGGGCGCGACGCCATCCACAGGGAAAACAGGCTGATCATCATGCTGGCGAAGTCCGTCAGCAGGTGGGCCGCGTCCGTCATGATGGCCAGGCTGTGGGCCAGGTATCCCCCTGCGGGGTGGAGAACGTGGGGCACGCTGCACAGGGGATCCTCCCAGCATGCCCAGCCCCAGGCGAGGGAAGTGCCAGGGTGCAAGCTCAGAGGTACAGGGGGCAACCCCCAAAAAAGTTGCAGGCCATGTGCTGGGGCTGCTGGGATTTCTCTGAAGCCAAATGTTCGCTGTGTCTGTCCCGATGCAGGAAGGGAGCCTGGGGAGGGCTGTGATTTTCGGTGCTCTCCCCTGTTCTACTACAGCACGGAGAAGCCTCAGCTCTGCGGCTCCCTCACTGCTCAGCCTTGCCCCTACATTAGCTCCGTCTCATGGGTGGGAAAAGAGGCAGAGACTGGCCTGCTGCCCCAGGCTGGCCTGGTCCTTGTGGGGATGGGGCCCTCAGCCAGACCTGCAGGTATACTACTGCGGTCACACTACCGTGCTCACACTACCGTGCTCAAATGCGATTGTTTCTAGGGTGGAACGCGGCAGGGAAGAACAGCCGCACGTAACACAGGGCAGCGGGAGGAGAACGAGTCCTTTTCATGGGTGTTTCAGCTCTTATCAAGTGGAGACCGCTTGCGCCTCACCTATAACTTCCCCCATCATGAAGACCAGGCAGATCAGCGACGCCAGGTAGAGTTTCCTTCGCGCCCGCTCCTTATCGGAGCCGCTGTGGTCGTCGGTGACCCGCTGCGAGTGGCAGTGCTGGCTGCCCTGTACCCCCAGCTCGATGGAGGCCAGGTCCGGCATGTACCTGAGCACGGAGCTGTGGAAATCCTTCCCCGACACACCGAGGCAGGGCCTGAAGCGCAGAGCTGCCCTTACTGCCCACCCTGGGGGTGGCGGGCGGCTCGGGAGGGGAGACCGTGGGGGGCGGGCAGAGGTTTGCAATTGAAATGGGGGCCCGCGAATGAAGGACCACGGGTTCATCTCCAGCCCACCCCAAAGCAGCACCCGAAGAGAGGAGAGTGGCCCCCGCCTCCCCTGCAGCCCTGAACCCCCTTCCCTGCCCCGTGCCAGCTGCTGCCCCGGCCCTGGGGGG